CTGTATATTGTACACAGCTGAATTAGTGCCTGTTCTGTTCTAGAGACTTTGGAGTTGTATTGCTTTAGTTTTTAAACAGAAATTTTAAAATAAGCATATGTGAAGTTATTTTTGTGTGTGTATAAACTTGTGTGAAAATTTGAAATTCAGTTGACTGTACTGAAATTTCTGAAATGAAACTGTTTCCTTATTCCTACTTTTTGTCACTGATATGGGGGTTTTTATACTTGCTCCAGGCTGCAACAGTTTTCTACATTACTCTTACAGCAGTGGAGAGCCACAAGGGCAGATCTATTGATTTACAGAACTCTTCCTGAAATAATCAATTTAATGTTGTAAAGAGTATGGTAATGATGTGGAATGTTGAAAATGCTGAACAAATCTGCATTAAAAAAAAAAAAAAAATCCAACAATTCCAATGAATGAAGGATGGAATTGAGAGAGAATGGGTCAGGTTAAAACTGGTTAAAAAATAAGTTCCCAGATTTCAGGTCTGAAATTTAGGAACTGTGTCTTGGTTTTTAGCACTGACAATGTTGTTTGAGTGGCTTTCTCCACTAAGGTGCATTTACTTATTTCAGCACCTTGTCTGTGCTGAAGCTTGTCTCAGCCTTGTGTTGTTGGAGGGAGTGAAAAGCATTACACTGATGGTTGCTTGAAGTGATTTTGTATAGCACCAGAAATATTATGGATTGAATCAAACAACTTACTGAAAATCAGAAGACTAATTGAATTCAGTTAATGAGCCTGTGTGCTGGTGGCACTGCCAATGTGCACAGCAGCATTTCCAGATCAGAAGGTCAAAACTTCTGTCACGGGGCACCGTGCATGTGACGTGTTTGTCAGAAACTATGGGAAGTGTCTGTTTTTTCCCTCTGTGTCTAAGGTATCTGATCTTTCCTTTCAATCCTAGGGCTCCCACCAAGGATTCATCAGAGGAGGAGTATGACTCTGGAGTGGAGGAGGAAGGCTGGCCTCGACAGGCAGATGCTGCAAACCATTAAACACTGTCAGAACTCTCACCTGAAGAAAGCTCACTCGGTTCTTTCCTTCCTCTGGCTCCAGCCTGATCCTAAAGGCACCGGATCTGTCTTGGATACGACTCGTGATGAGGAACTCCATTAGCTAAATCAGATCGTGTATTTTATTGCAGCATCACATTGATTTTGATGGACAGAGTGTGGACTGGGATGACATAATGTTCAAATATGAATTGTATATTACACTTGTTCAATTAAAATGTATAGCAAATGCAGCAGCACCTGCACTGCCCTTGCCAGAAACTGAACCAGCAGTGCAGGTGCTGCCAATAGTTAGATTTAATAATAATGTTACTCTACAAATGGGAAATCAAAATTAAAAATTAGTAGAGGGTGAGTAAACTATCTTAGGTCCTGGTACGGCTCACAGGGGGTTTTGTTCAGGTCAGTGTTAAGAGTCCTGCTGGTGTGTGAAACCCAGTGGGTGCTGGAGTGATTTGTTACATTGGTGGGGGAGGAAACCCTTTTGGAGAAACTGGGACACGCTTTGTGACACTGCTGGGAGATTCTGCTCAAATGTGACACTGGTTTGTTACAGTAATTTGAATATCAAATGATATCCTTCACGTCTCCATTGGGAGCTTTAGACACCTTGGATAATGTGAAAGAAGGTGAAGTCAGTCATTTGCTGGTTTTCCAGAGGGGTAAACAAGATTCCTAGGAAGCAGTAAAACCATCTAAATTTGGATGAGAAATCGCCATAAATTTTTAAATATTAATGTTCTAATATAGTACATTTTGTTTAACATATTGGAACTATCATGCATCAATTTTTTGGTGCCAGGTATTTGCCCAACCTATCTTATAATGGTAAGAGATGAAAGAAGTAAATGTATAATATTTTTGCTGTAATCAGTAGTGATTGTTCACATGACAGTGCTTTTTAAGTTATATTCTCAAATGCTAGTATTGCATCTTGTGGGTTTGTCTTTGGTTTTTAGTCTCACAGCAAGCAATCCTCCCTCTTATGTTTCCACCAAAATAAATTCAATCCTTTAGGAAAGTGTAAAAACACTAAAGGACCTGTATGTTTTTGATTTGTTTCAGGAATTAAAAGTGTCGCTTACAGCTTTGTTTTGTCCTTCAGTGAAAATGTGGACTTGAGTTTCCCTAAAACTTTAATTCATACTATTTAAATAAAACTTTCATCCTTCTTTTTAGTCTAGTGGATGTTTTAGGACAGGAAAGGATACTGAAAATCTATTGACCCTATTTTTGTCATTAATTTTTGTCATGTAAATTTTATGTAATACTTGTGTTCTTCCCTAGCAGCAGTGACATGCAGTTGTAGCCAGGTGCAACAGATACTTTCCGTGGGATTTCACATTTTTTTCAGGTTAAATTACCCACTAATGGTTCAGAAAAAGCTGCGTTTGGAGTTGAAGATACTTCTAGAAGCTTGGGCCCCTCGAAATGGGAATCTGTGGTGAACTATCTGTAACTGCATCCTCACTTTCCTTTTTGTAGAGTGAAAACGTGTAACAGCTTTTAATTCTGAATCCTTTTATTCAAATCCTTTTTTAAACAGATAGAAAAAACCACCACATTTTAGATGAAACTGTTCAACAACTTAGTTTTGAAAGTTGTTTGGAATTCTGTAACCAAGAACTGTTTTTAAGGAAACAAAAATGCCGTGTAACTACAGTTTGTACTTCACCTCTGGCGTTTGAATAAAAGCGAATATTCAAGCAGCGGAGAGTTGTCATCCCTAACGCCATCCCCACATATTTTAAGTTTTAGGAGTAGTTTTTGGAACTGCATTTTTCAAGTGGAGCGAGAGGCGGGCGGGGCGGGTCCTCCCGGCCGCCAGGCGGCGCTGTGGCGCGGTGCTGAGGCGGGAGCTGAGGCGGGATCATGGCGGCGCGCTGAGGGCTGTGGCGGGATCATGGCGCAGCCGCCGCCGTTCCCCTCCCGCCTCCC